AACACCACCCTGCCAGAATTCGCGGTTGTTGCAGCTTCAAGGAAAATTAGCTTACTTGTTACCTCGTCGCACCACTTACTAAATTAATCTATTAAATTAACGTAGTGTGTGGTACGCGACTGTTCCTGTCACCTACATTGCGAGAAACACCTCCACTTGTCTCTTCTTTCTCACACCTCTAATTATACTCAAGTTGTTGTGGGTGGTTTGTATTAAACAAGACTTTTCGTTTTGTTGTTTCTCAAAAGTTTACGCCAACGTTATTTACACCATTATTTGTAACTGAAATATTTCAGTAATCTCTTATTTTTTATCTTAACTATTCTCACAATTCAATACACGTGCATGTGCTCATAATCTCAGGATTAAAATTTAAATTCCCACCAAACAGCCAGCCTTTAAACTATTGACACCCGTTGAAAATATTGTGCCGATACAGGTAGCTTACCTTAAAGTCAAGATGTGCAAATGAGATTATTGCTTTCTCCGGAAAATAGATAGCAAAGTACCTATATAGCACATATCTTACCATTTGCAAATTTATGTTTATATAGAAAAAATACAATTAGTTTTGCTGTTAAAAAATGATCAAAACATCTTCTGTGCGACATCATTCTACTCTATTTTTTGTTTGTTTTCCTTTTTATTTATTTTGGATTGGGATAAACTGTTTATACCTATTCTTTTGTGAGAGGGAAATCCGACTAGAGAACGATATATGCGACATCTTGCGCGCTATCAATTTACTAATGATGTTCCTAAGGACGTCTTATTAGGACCTCTCACATATGTATGTTAATTGTTAATCCAACTCCTCAAATTGGTTTAAAATGAAATGCATATTACATGCACCATATACTTCATAAATTTTTACAGTAAAGACAACAAACTTCTCACTAGTCATCTCACAAGTGCATTGATTTTTTCCGGAAATTTATTTGAGTGCAGTCCCAACAACGTGTTAATCGGCATGAGCGGAGCCGATTACGTTGTTGGACTGCATTTGAATGTTCAATGTGTAACGAAGCACCCGTTCCCAGCCTTGAAGTTTACCCACCTTATGATGACCACCTTGTATTATCTGGGCGCTTTGTTACGAAGAGGTCGCTTCGAAAATATTTATTTCTGTGCAGTAGTTGGAAATATTACGTAGAAATTAGTAGAGCTGCCTCTTAAGGAAAATAAGAGGCCGTATGTGATTTGCCGTTTGCAACCGTTCCTGTAGGAACATTTAAATGGTTTTTATAGGCGCCGAAACTCTCTTGCCAGGGAGGAAGAGAGAGAATCAATCTTATTCCGTTTTATGTCCGTTAATTAACTATTAATCGATTTTAGTATACAAAATCCAGCATTAAAACCGACAAGGTCGCGCAAACTTTTTATGTATGCCGACGATACAACGGTGGTAGTGAGTGGTGCTTCAATCCAAGATGTACGTGGTGATGTAAACAAAGTGCTATTTCAATTCGACTCGTGGTGCAACAAAAACAGATTAACGATAAACTACAATAAGTCAGTTTTTATTGAGATTCACTCCAGATATAAATCTAAAAACGAATTTAACTTTACAATAAAAAACCACGTGATCCCTAGTGTATCTACGACCAGGTTCTTAGGCATCCACGTCGACGGCGCACTATCTTGGACCAACCAGGTGGATGACATATGCGGGAAGATCAACAAAGCCTACTATTTAATACTAAATTTGAAAAATTCATTTGGTCAAAATGCTCTCATAAGCGTGTATTACGCGTTCGTATTTTCTGCAATTAAATATAACATTGCGATTTGGGGAGGTAGTGTCCACCGTGAACGTGTGTTTGTTTTGCAGAAAAGAGTGATTAGACTTATTTTTAATTTAAAACCAACTCATACTTGCCGATATGTATTTCGGTATTACAAGATAATGACACTTTACTCTATTTATGTATATAATTGTGTCTCATATATACATAAGCATATACAAAGTTTCATAACTGGCAGCGAGGTCCACTCATACGATACACGCTGCAAGCACAAGCTGAGATTGGACAAACCACGCCATTCGTTTTACAAGACATCCCCGGAGTACCAGTCTATAGCACTTTACAACGCCCTTCCGGATCAAATGAAAAGCGGCCTAAACTTTGGCCAATTTCAAAACAGGATTAAGGCATTCTTGTTGGATAGAGTCATCTACTGTGAGCATGAATTTGTTACGGCTATGTGTTCGTTTTCTTTGTAATTACTTGTGTGTCTGTGTCTGTTATATATATATCTACTATTTTTTATTATTTATTGACGTGTAAATAATTGCTATTGCAATTCTACTTACTAATAAATTTATGATTATGATTATGAATTTAAGGAAAATATCAGCGTGATAGGAGACCCCGCTATTTGATCTAAAGGGGCATTGCTGGACTGCCGAATTTGGAAATTTCATTCCGACTATTTGGATAAGTATAATTAGCCGTACCTAATTGATTGAATGGGTTACAGTAACCGCCTCCGATTAAGTCGAGATCCATCCGGTACGCTTTTCAAAAACTTTTGACACCGGTCCCAGATTTTAAGACGTCCAGGCAGTACGTAAAAACACTTATAATTTTTAAGCTTTATCGCAAGGAGACGCCGTTGAATTTTACATATGGTAAACGCTTAATTTATAGGAGATCTTTTTGCCATTTTTGCATGTCGTAAGTATACGGTAAATTATCTAGCTTTTCCGTAAATTTACCTTTCATCCGTACCGTTCCATTTTGGTTTGTTTGAAATTAATTTCACCGCACTGTAGTTAGATCATCAGTTTAACCGAAACGTAAGATCTTTTTGGTTTTGCACTTTTGCCAATTACATATATTTGTAAGTAATAATCTTGACTTAACTTTAAGCAAGGCCTAATATTGTTGGTACAACTGGGACTTAGTTCATACATTCGACATTTCATGTTGCCAGACCTTGTCAATCAAAATTCTTTAGCAATTTTTGGAAAATTACATAGTATTTATATGCTACCAAGCAAATAGCTAGCGCCCTATTACTTTTTCTCTCCAATATTATTTTTAAATTGATGGCACACGTTTATTAATACACTTTTGTCTGTTGTTCTGTCAAAACGGAACCTATATAAACAGAAAATTGCGGTGACAGACATTTACTTATCATCGCTCAAAATCTGTCGATATCTCTCGGTGTAACAGGGTGTAGCACCTAAGACGACTCGGTTCATGGCTAAACGGTTGAAACGATTTAAACTAAATTTTGTATACACATATTGTTTATTCTTAGACATAAAAGGAAGAGCTGAGAAGTTTATCAATTAAAATTGATATAAAAATAACGTTACTTATATTACAAATACGATGGTATGGGGTTGTCTTGAGTAAATTCGGTCAAGAGTCACAGTTGTCGCAATTTGTAACGCGAGAGAGAATGGGTTCATCCCGGCTTCATTTTTTATTTCTGATCTACAAAGTACATTAAAAATAAAAAGACCCGTGTGTCCTCAATTTTTATTTGCGAGTAAAATAAACCCAAAATAAATTATTGAATAGCTGTGTTTTTAGTCCGTATTTGAAACGCTTCAGTCTACATACGTCACAAACCTACAACCAATCACGTAGAAGTGAGCCGGCAACCTTGCGCAAGGGTCTGACGTTTGTCGGATTTGACGTTTTAAGAGACATGTTTAACTGCATCTAAGGCGAAAGTGAACGACAAGTGACAAGTGCCTGTGACAGGTAACGCAAGTTACAAATGACATTCTCCTGCAATATTACCAAGTCGTTATGTCATCTGAATGGTTCTAGGACCTGATTGGTCGGGCGTATTACGTCACAGAGCCCGCCATAATCATATCGTTTTGAATAAACCCTTAAAACCGCACATGTTCATTATTTTTTTTACTAATTAGTCTCTATTTTTAAATAAACTTTTACTGTCAAAAAAAATGTTTTATGGTTTTAGGTACACGCTTATTAAATTAGAACTGCGCAATTCAACTATACTGTAAACCCCCATTATCACAAATCTTGTTACACTTTCTCGAAATCTAAAAAAAAGAACTTTGTCGAACGAGTCCCGGGATCTACGAAGGCGCCATTTAACTACACTAGCAATGTAGAAATGCTAAATATGTAAAATTAAAAAAAAAATTGCATCGACCGGAAATCGAACCCTGGCCGCCCGCGTGGCTGCTACAACGATTAGACGGCTATCGATTGCCGGTTGCATTTTCCAAAATACTGTTACATCGAAATCTCCATGTGTGATATACAGCAACCTAAAATTAAAAAAAAACTACTTACCTATATATTGCTCACCTTTTTTTACTAACGACTTTCGTTAAAAATCACTACGGTACTGTTGGAAAAAATTTATTTTCGTACATGTAAATCATCTAAAATAATCCCCCCGAATAATTAAGGAATCCTTCTAATAACTAACGAACTAACTAAATATGATTTATATGATCATGACGTTTGCGCTATATAATCGAATGGCCACCGACGAGGAAGATACATGTTTGACATTGATTTTCAAATGTTTCTTTCTGCTACCTACCTTTTCACCCCACCCCATTTAAAATTAAATTAAATAATTAAGAGTAAACCTATGATAAACAGAAACCTATATCGGTTAATTAAAAAGCATCCACTTCCACACATGATGGGTATAATACCTACTTTGTGGTGATCATGGAACTAAAACTATTTACTTTTGAAATTGTTGTTTTTCTAGTCGCATTGTGTCATCGGAGGCGCGAAACTTTTATTTTTTGTTATATTAAATAAGTTTGAATAATATATCACGTTTTGGTGAAAGTTTTCACGTGTTAATCCTTTCAAAAAACATTTTGTCTTTCTGAGGCTATAATTTATACACACACCTTTAACCAGAAAATTATGTTTGCACTTAAAAGTTTAAAAACCAAGTTTCAATTACGAATGTGTGTGCGCAATGTAAATTTAAAACATTATGACATATGTACAGTTTTTATCTGGTTTTATTTGTTTCAGGTTTGCACATAAACTTACTTTGAAAACAGTTTTCATCTTTGAAGTATGGACGTAAGTAGTACATGCATTCCTCCGTTAATATAAATATTTGGGTGTCTTCATATAAATTGAATAAATGGGCTAAAGTAATGGCATGATAAATATACTATTAAGTGCAAGTTTTGACTATTACTGCCGACATAATTACACGTAGAACTTACGTGAATGGAGCGTTTCCAAACTTCCCTGTTGGAAGTTTAAATCATAATAATGATGATGGATGGTGTACTGAAATCAAATCGAGGTATAATATTTAATTAATAATTAGGTGCGTTATTGCTTTTTCGTAAACTTGCAGAGTGCATTAAATTTACTACCTAAGTTTACAAATATCGTTTCATCGTTTTGGAGAAAATTGCAGTAGGTACGTCAGAGATTACTCAACTGCAAAGTTATCTTGCTACGAAAGTTGTAGTCACCTAATATTGCGTTTCGTACTTTTCATTGATATAATTTCTTTGTTTTCATCGTGCTAAAACATAAATTGCAAATAGCGTGCAGACATTTATAATGTTTTCAAAACGAAAATTATTGTAAATCTGTAGGACGAGATTATACACATGGACACAGATAATATACTAAGTCAAACAGAAAGCAACCAAGATTGCTTAATGAAGCATCTCAGGTTGCAGTTCTTGGCCAATTTGCCATAAATCCCTCAATGTCAACATTTTATTTTTTTTTGTTGATTATTTAATTTTTGTTAAATTGTCTTAATGAATATTGACTTTATTGGTACCACTGGAAAGCATTTTTCAGTAGCTTTCCAACGAGGTGTCACAAGTATGGGGTTGCCATTTAGGATTTTTGAAGAGGAGGGCTGGGGGGTTAACGGGGGTGGGGGGTTGTCATTCATAACGTCATTCTGGTTCTCCCTCGATACCCCCGAAACTGTTTTGCGCGATTTTCAATATCTTCTTTAGTTTGAAAAATATGGCCGACTGCAAGTTTTAAAATTGACACCCTGTATATAAAATTTTGTGCCTAGTCAAAAAATATATCATAACACTGTTAATCCAAAAGATATTAACTCGTGTAATACAAGGAGAAACCAAGTTACCTGTGCCTCGTCATAAAAAAAAAGTAGTTATATGAAAACACGCCACTCTATTGTGGAATAAAGTTTATAACAAACTGGACAATGCAACTAAACTGCTACACTGAAACAATTTAAAGCTACAGTCAAAAAACTTCTAATTTATTGTAACATGATGTCTGACTTCTCCTACATTCAAAACGGGATAGTCGATATATTGGATTAATAAAGATTATGATTATAGCACTAACACCGTGTGTGTTCATTATTTCGATAAGTAAAAGTTGAATGTGAAGTTGACCCCGCCCCGTTTTTTTACCACCCGCACGTTAGTAAGGGAGGTATTGCATTGGGGTAAAAAATGCCCCCCCACTTTTTTGACGGAAATATACGTTTTTAAGCACTAGAAATCCGAATCAAACAAAATCTAGATGGCGTTGGTCTGTCTGTCGGTAGGTCTGTACTCTCATTTCCGGCTAAACGACTGAACTGATTGGAACCAAATTTGGTACACATATTCTTAGTCATAAAAGAAAGGGCTAACAACCTTTTGGGCAGAACTCACATACGCAGGTGGTATCTGTGTTAGCCACAGCATTTTTTTATATTTCTCATGTTATGTAGCAGCACTAACGATAAGTTCGAACACATTTTTTTCAAATTATTTTATATCAGCGAGGACATTTTCACATGGGTATTTCAAACATCCACTATCAAAAAAGCCCAGTTTTTCGTTATGTTCTCGTATTTAAATCAATCACCTCTCTTCCACCTTATAAAATCTCCTTCCTTAAGGTTTCGTAAATAAACGCCTATTGTATACTTATCGGAGATAACACGTGCTTATCTTGAAACTAATTAATTTTCACCTTACGGTGAGTTGCCCAATTCTGCAGATGGTTGGTACAATCAACACTATGCCTTCAAGGGTGGCCTTTATCTCCCTGATAAGGTCGACACAAGTATGGTGTCCAATTAAATTTATATCTGCGCACGGAAACACCCTGGTCGAGACCCTGGTAGTTTAACACACTCGAGATATGCCGGTATTGTTCAGCAGGAAATACCGGACGTAGGATAAATACCCGTTAATGAGAGGGCGCAGAAACCAATCAATACGAATATCATGATAACAATAATTAAAGTGCGTCGACGGAATAGTCAGATATCGGATGTGTGTGAAAAAAAATTCTCATTCAAATGCTCAACACTGAGATAATCAAAACAAACTCTAGGTGGGTATTCTGTGCTGAGCAGTCTAGATCAATACCTGTTATGTCATTTATCCCTATACTTTATAAAGCAATTTAAAATGTCTGTCATATCAATGCATATAATATTGTAATCACTGGTCATATGGATGATATTGTATGTAACATGGTGTTAAGGAATGCGATTCACAATTATAAGCATAATAAATCCACCAGCTAAAGTCATCATAACTTATTTAAAAGGATGAATAATTGTGCATTTTTTTTAAAATTTTCCACTACAAATCAAGCCCCTTCATTTGGAAAGAAATTTGTGAGCTATAGATAAATTATGAAGGTATCAAAAATTTGTATTAAGTTTTACGTGACTTTGTTTCTTAATTGCGCTTTTAATCTGTGCGTATTTTTTGTTTGCTGTAGAAAGATAAAAACGGTTTAAGTTTTTGTTAATTATCGAATTTCTCGTGTTCCTGAAGTGGCACGTGATAGAATTCCCAACTGGCAGTATCCCTTGCAACACCTGCGTTTCACGTCTTCCTTAATGTTAACTGTCCGAACTTCTAACCTGCTGTAATCAACTACGTTTCTGTAGAATCTATCGCAGCGAACACCGTTCTCATTTACCGTAACCTTTATCTTTTGTTCATCACATCCCTGATTCCCCTCGGACTCACCTACTCACTAACCCCTACCTAGATGATGAAATCCAATTTAGGACCCAAGTCCACGTTTTCCCCTTACGTTGTCCTGCAGCCACTTACCAGCCCGTGCAGCATCACAACAATGAGTGTTTATGATGGCGCCTACTCGACTATTGCCATAGCAACGATGTCCTTATGAGATAGGTATAAGGTGTGTCACTTACAGCAGGACCTCCTGAAGGACCGCGTAACTTTCACCTAACTGACGTCCATAAATCCTTGTTGTTATGATAGCCGCTTCATTTACTCCTTAAATTTCCTAAAGGAAAATATTTTCTTTCGCGTCTATCAATTCTGATCGCGTTTATTTCTATACTCCCTAACAAAATAGTGTATAAATTTTGTACATTACTGGGGCATTTCCTATAAATATATTTATATCGCCGCCCAAATTAATATCCACTTTTTACGCATACGTGTTTCCAACAATAACATATTATTCTGAGAGTTTAGATTAATTGTAAGTAAATTATGAGATTAATATTTAATCCGCGGAAAGAATTTAAAATTTTATGAACAGTAATGATGTCGCGTTGACATTTTTACGTTTGTTCAGGTAAATTATACTTTGGTTACATCATTTCAACAAATTTTTGACATTTTATTACGACCCGTGTTGCAATACATTTTTTCCGTCAAATAAAATAGTAATATGATTTATTAAAAAGATTTTATTTATGGCACGTGATGAATGCTGAACAATTTTCCACAGTTCAAAATATACGCGCGCGCGATCGTTTGAGAGGTGCATGGTAAAAAATAATTGTATCGTTAATCTTAATGTACTGATAATAAGGTTTTGCGTCCTTCCTGTGTTCTAATTTCGCCGATACAACTAATTTATTTTCCATCATTAATCAAAAACACTGGATAACCTAAATTTGTCACCTCTACAGCGTCTCCGTTGTTTGCGAATCTTTTTCTATATTTTTGGAACATTTTTTTACATCTAGCGTTCTTAATAAATCTTTGTGTAAGACACGTTTATTAGGTCATAAGATAAGTATACGTAGCTGTAGATAATGATAACATTTTGAAATTATAGGAATTAAAAATCTTTTTATAGCGTGTCTTTAACCCCATTCTTCTGTAATGAGCGATACTTTGCTTTAAATCAAATCCTAACCACTGTTATTAATTACTCTTGTAACGCAAAACGCCCTGTAGTTTTTTTTACAGAGAGTTGGAGCACAGAAATTAATTCAAAGTGTATGCAAGTAAAATGGACAAATTGGATATTACGAGTCATTTATTTTCAACTTTTAACCATATCAGAAACCTGGGGTCACACTTGGCGTAAGATAAACCAGTTCTGCTAAACATTTTTATCCAAAAAACCGTAGGTGTCTTGCTTAACTATCACTTTCCATGCTTGAGAGGGTATGACACCGTTTCTGGAATCAACTAATCTAGGGGCGTCATATTCATAAAATTTGCCGCTATTCAGTTTTAAATTAAAATGAAAGAGTTCGAATTTAGTGAAAATTTTCTTTACACAACGTTAGGATAAGTGATTCTGTAACAAAACGGAACTTCTAGTGAAGATTTTCACGACAAATTGTGTTTTTTTGATTTGCAGTGCGGTTTGGCGTGGGATTTGGCTTTTGGGAATGAAGTACCATCCGAGGAGCAGTGTTTTCAGTTAGCTTTCTGAATTTCACGGCGGACCCCGAGTTGGATTAGGTCAAACACATTTTCTAGGTCACTGGGTCACTTACTCTACGGCCTAGTTTAGCTCAGTGTTCTTCAGATGTAAAGCGTGCACTGAGTGACTGGTCAATAGGCCGTTGGGTCATTAGGTTTCTGTATCATCGTGCTAACTGGGCCGCTGTGTCAAGGTGTGCGTCCGGTGCGTGACTTAGCCCAACTCTGGCGTTACGCATCGCCCTTAAAGAGCCGGGTTAAAATAAATGGCCCTTACACACTTATCGCGCACATCGCTAGATGTTCTAACGTGAGTTAAGGACGCATTGCACTTATTCCTTTGTGGCTGCTTTTTATTTGCACATATGGAGCATAGTACGCGTGGTGACAGATTTTCGTCGTTTGAAATATTTCTTATGT